TTTGTAATATCTGGGTACACAGGCAGTGTGTTTGTGCCCACGGCCCCAAGGGGCCATGCCAGCGAGGGAGAGAGGAATAGGTCTTGTTGACTGTGTGAAGGATTGGCACCGAGTGAGAGAGAGGCAGGGTGATGCCATTTCAAGTGGCATGCCCACTGAGAGGCCTACAGGTGACAGCACGAGTACGGCACGAAATATGAACTCAGCTGGCAGATAGCATAGGCTATCTATGCAGACAGTACAGGCTGTCTACATTCGTTTAGCTATGCACCACCATGGTCGTCCTCGACCATGACTGGCTACCGCAGGAACAGGGCTCAGAACACAGAATAAAAACACATGTATATGTACATACATGGACATGAAAAAAAATTCCTACAGGGATGGAAGAAAAAAAAGGTGGTGTGCTAAACATAATGGTTTAAGGCAGTGATCCCTGGAGGCATCACTGCACGCCTTCCTGCATCTGGACAGAAACTACAACACAGGAGATATCGCTGTGGCTGAGCTGTGAAGTAACAGGGTACAGTCTCCTCTGGAATGGTGAAGCAGTTGTCATAGTAGTCACTGCAGGGTTCACTCAACCTGGGGCACAACCTGCTGGTGCCCTTGAGTGAGGTGTCAGTACTCAGCAACTGGGCAGGACTTCTTCTGGCAAGCGATTCAGGATATTTCTCGACTAGTACTGTCACTGGGGCTGTCACTGCCGGTGAGTGTGGAGTGAGTTGTGGCAGAGACGACTCAGCGAAACATCTGGAAGTCATAATATCATACACTGTACTGCAGTGAGCGGGCTAGCAGTCAAATTGACATCATCTTTGTGCAGGCTGCTCACTGACGCTATGACATGAGGCTGACACAGTGCCTGCCGACAGGGTCTAACTGCGGCTTGACGAGTGTCATTCTCTCGGTAGTTGGAGTTATAGCAGAGGTTAGTCTAAGTGTCCCCAGACTGTTCCTCTACATATAACTGCTCTGACAGTTAGGTGGTGAAGTGAAACAAATCTTGATGGGAATCGTATAGTGATTCTGCAGAGCATCACGAGTGGCGAACATTAAAATCTTTCTGTACAAGGGGCTCAGACGCTCGTTAACTGCTGCCAGGACTGACTAATGTCAGCTGTCAAACACGCGGTCACACGAGGTAACACGAGGTGCTACACAGTGGTCCAGGCGCAGACCTGTGGTCCACACATAGCTGGGCTCAAGACCACACGGGACACATGGAAAACTGCACACACCTACTGCACATGCGGTTACAACATGATGCTTTTCTGTGTGAAAATTGACACTAAGCTATACATGAACATGTGAGAACACTGACTGAGAGGAATTAATTAACTCACGATATATATCTTCTCTCAATCTTCTCGACAATACAACATATTGCTCACTGTGAAACTAGCACTGTTGATATGACATCATGCAGTGATGTCAGGCATGACGTCGTGAGGTGATGTCATGGTCGTGACATCACTAGGTGATGTTAGGCAGGAAGGTGACATCAGCAGACGTCATGAAGGGCCATCCTGGAGTGACATCGTGAAGTCGGGCAGCATCGTGGGCGACATCGTGAAGTCGAGAAGCATCGTGGGTGATGTCAGTGGAGTGATGCAGAAGCAGACCACAGCGTGGTTTGGGATCTGGCATGTAGGTCCATGTGGCTTCGTGATGCATGTGGCTTGATGATCCACATGGCTTGATGATCCAGGTGGCTTCGATCTACATGGCTTTGAGTAACCTCGGGCACTCAGATACACAGCTCTGGCAAAGAATTCACATGGAAATTCACAGAAAATGCAGCAGAGAGGGAGTGGGAAGTGGTGGCATACATTAGGGTGAGTGTGGGTGAGTGGCGTATGGTGGAGCCAGGACCGAGCGCCTATCTTCCTCACCCATACACACGTGGAAGATAGTGCAGATTCTACCACACTGGGCACAGAAACCACCACAAACTCACCTCTGACTTGCTGAAATGGCCATGCTGAGCTGAAAAACAACAGCAACATACAAGTGACGCTGAACACGTGACTTGAGAAACTGCATGGGACGCTGTGAAGTGCCAGGTGCTTTAACCTGTGTCTGGATGCTGAGACTTGCAGACACGACATCAGGGTAACTCATTGAGAGATGGATGCTTCTTGTATGGGAGGATGAAGTAAAGACGAGTTCATTCTTCTTCCTTCTCTCCTCTGAGCAAACACAACTGCTGTGAGGCACCGCTGTATACCAGTTTTTTGCGAAAATGGTTATTTTCCGTTGTTGCACCGGGGTTCGATGATAACTTCGAGGCTTCTTTATTTGCGAACTGGGTGCATAGGCAGTGTGTTGGCCATGCCCAAGGGGCTGCCAGGAGGGAGAGAGTAGAGGATAGGCCTTGTTGATTTGTGAGATGTACTGAGTGAGAAAAGGCAGGGTGATGGTTCAAGGGCATGCCACTGAGGGCCTACAGGTGGCAGTCGACATGGTGCGAAAATTGAACTCAGTGAGACAGATAGGCTGTCATGAGAAGTACAGAGGGCCTACACCACTGCCTTAGTGCAGAAACAACATTGCAAATACTATCAGCCAAGCTGTCTAGCAGACAGTACAGGATGCCTACACCACTGCCTTAGTCTAGCAGTAACAACAGTATTGCCAGAGATACTTATAGCCTAGCCTTAGTCTAGCTGTAACAACAGTAATGCCAGAGATACTTATAGCCTAGTCTTAGTCTAGCAGTAACAAGAGTACTGGGAGAGATAGCCTAGCATTAG